TGTATACAGGGTGTATTTAAAGGGTACAAACATAAATACGCCTTTGTTGAAAACGGTTGGCATTAGAGTATTAGCAAGGTATATATTTTTTAGTCTTATTTTAAGCAGTAGCATATCTGTATGGTCATGTTATGACATACTGCTCAATTATAAAACATTAAATAAAAGCAAATTTTAAAGCATAGTGGCGTTTTAAAATATTTAATTCCAAGTATGAAAAATTAAACTGAAAATATTTATTAAATTGATAGATTTTCTTAAAAAGAATCACATAGTGTAGTAAAATTAAGTCAAATAGTTCTATTTTATGTCTAGTTTTAAAAGAATATCACAAATTTGTGCAATGTAAGTTATGTAATGGAATATGACTCCGGAAATGTCAAAATTCACATGAAATTAAAAATAAAACAATTTTCCAATGATAATTTCTTGGAAAAAACAGCACAGAAGTGTAGTACATGTTTGTCACTAACAGGCCACCGCAGTACAAAACATTATCTGTACCTCACTTAAAGATTTTCATCAAATTTTGAAACGGTAGCTTTGTACAGTAGCGGCTTTCGAAGAAATTTTACTAAATTTTCAATATACATGCAAATAACGTTATAGAAAGTTAAAGTGTTATACCTTTAGCAAGTTCACATCCTTAGAACTGGATTTGATCCAATATATAGGTGCATTGTACAAGAAAAAAAAATTGTATCATAAGTCAAACGACAAACTTTGTAAATTTTGTTTTTAATCTAACGGTGAGTGTGAATCTGCTGTAGACATTGGCTAGTGCATCCTCCAAGGACTAAAAAGCAGTATTTATTTTATGTTATAGACTTTTCCATAAGTGAAAAATTTGTGAAAAACGATGTCATTTCGACATCTAGAACAAAATTAAGCCATAAACATTTAAATAAATGCAAACCCAAGTGGAAAGTATGTAAGAACTTTAATAAAGAGGTCATAAAATAGATTTAGATAGGTAAAAACAGTTTTAAGTAAGAAATGTTACTGTATTTTCATAATTTAGCATAGGTTCAGAATAGATGTAAAATCTATTAACCTACAATGGAAAATGGGGTATCAAAATAACGAGAATTGTATCCTATAATCGAAAATAAGCATAATTTTCAGTTTTAGAAATCCGTATGCCCAAAATTTCATAAAATAAGTTATATCATATGACAGGTGACGTTGTAACCACAACAAACTTCTTTTGTTTTCGGGTTTATTAAAAGTGTTTTGGACGAAAACAGCCAGTTTGCTCATGATCTTTGAACGATAAACATCTGTGGTAATCTGAAACTTCTGAAAGAAAACAAGTGAAAATCACAAGAATAATCAAGGTAACTCAATTATTTTAAAATTTGTACCTTTTCAGATCTCAAATGTCAAACTGATGTGAGGTTTTCATTTCGTCAAAAGTTGTGAGAAAACGAATTAGTCCGAACAGGGATCAAACATAAGAAAATTAAACTTGTACAACAACGATCTGTTAGGATTTCTGACCAATCAAGTGCTTCGACTGCAGGGAATTTTCGAAAAGAGAATAAAGTGCGAATTCAAAATTAGTGACCAGTGCCTGAGCGGAATAAATGGTACGGAGGAGAATCTGGCGGCTTCAGAACGAGTTAATGGCAGAAAACAACGAGAAAGTCTAGTTCCAGTTCAGCAGGCCTGCCAACTTCAAGATCATCTGAGAACTTTGAAATTTCAAAATACAAGGTAGACCATTTTATTTAACTGCAGTTAAAAGGTATATTTTATTGGCCACATATTTAAAAAACATTGATCAATGAAAGATAAAGATATTTAAAACAAAATTTTAACAAATTTAAAAACAAAAGTTTCATTTAACCAATCAAATTTGAAAAGTAATATAAATAAAGAGATCTCAAATTCTAATTTTAGTATAAGTCTAGATTAAGAAAATTTGTATAACTGTATATCTGAACATCCGTTGTAGTAAATATAGCTGACACTTGTTAAAGTTATCCGATTTATTTATTATTCCATGTGTGATATTTGAGGAAAATCTATATAGTGAGATAAACTAAATTTATGACAAAGAAATAAGTAGATTCTTGCTTGAATAAAATATTGAACCCGCCTCCTGCTCGAGGGAGTTGCTCACATAAAAAAAAAAAAATAAAGTGTAAAATAGAGGCCATTTAAGCATTAGCAGGTAAATATACGACTTGTGAATTGTATTTATGTCTTTAACATATACACTACACTACACATAACATACTTTATCGACACACATATACAGGGGCTATTCAAAACTTACTCGAAACATTAATTTTCAAAATAGAACATTCATACATAAAATTTTAACTAACACATAAAACAACATTCAACACAACAGTAGGTATATCTATATAAATTTTTCCCAAATGATTTTTTCCTATATCAAACGTAAATTTATCATTTAATCATACTTTTCAGGAAGTAAATATTTAATTGTGCACAACAAACTATTAAAACTATTTTTTAAATCAAAATATTTAATGTTTCCATTCAATTAAATGCATTATTAACTGCAAACGAATATTTAATTCGTCAAATCCACCAGTGATTTAATTGGCTCTAATTAATTTTATTTCTACCAATTAAGTCCTTTCCTCAGTGTGTGGATTTGAATATTTGCCATAGCATAGCATACTTGGTAATGTTATTGGAATGGCTAATTATTACTAACTACTACTACTTTATTTCAAATATTTTGCAAAAATCAAATTGTTATGAACTGTTGAATACAGAAATTTAGAAAATTAAGTAAAATAATATTTACAAATCCATTTGAAAAAAGATCAAAAGAATTCCCAATNTAAATAAACGGATGACCCCACAAAAGTTGCCTTGTGCGTGGGGAGAAATTTTAAACATATTAAACATATTAGAATTCAATTAACAATCAATAATAATAGATAATAATACTGTATATAGATAAATTCATATATAATACAAACAACTGAGAACACAAAAAATATGTATAAATAAAAAAGAAACAATACAGGTACACATGCGTTAAATTAACATTTTGAACAAGTTCAGCAAAAATGTACCTACACACATACATGTTTTTGACAGGTAAGTTGTATATTATATCTAAATGTAGCTTTTTCTATCAATAATTTCATGTATTACTTTTCTAGGTGTATTTGTAAGCAATACTTTTATCTTTTGTTTATATAGACATTTATAATTTATAGTTTTAATATTTAATGGAATGTGTTTATAAATAAATGGAATTAAAAAGGTAAAACTTCTTTGACCAATAATTTTAGGTACTCTAGGTAACAGATCTAGTAGATATATCGTGATCAAAAAAAAAAAAAATTATATCGTCTGGATATTTATAAAGATAAGTGGAAATATTTAGAAAGTACAGTTGTCGATGATCAAATACATATTTGAGTCTCTTCGTAGAGTGAAGCAGTTGGGTAAGTATAATCTTTTTTAAATGCAATTTTTATTAACCATTTCTGTGTTATTTCCAATTTTTTTACATAGTTGTTCATTACCCCTTCCCATGCTAATATGCCGTATATAAGATGGGGTTGTACTAAAGCAAAATATAAAAGTTTCATTTGTTTAACATCTAATATATCTCGGAAATTATTCCATATTCCATTTTAAATGTGAATCAATAAATATACCTAGATATTTTATTTTATTTGTTATATTTTTTCAGCTATATTGATTTCAAGTTTGTGGTAACTTGGTGATTTGTCAGTGTAGCATGTAAAAGGCATAAAAAATGTTTTTGAGTAGTTAATAGTTAATAACCTGCTGTTCATCCATAATGCAATAATAATAATTTTAAAATCTTTTTCAGCCTTTTTTTTTAAATTTTTCGAATCATTACCTGTATAAAATATAGTGGTATCATCCGCAAAACTAATTATCTCACCTTCTGTGGGAACTTCATATAAATCATTAATATATATATTGAATAGGACCGGGCCTAATACTGTACCTTGAGGCACACCAAATTCTACTGTTCTTGGAGTAGTTTTTATATTATTAATTATAATTTGTTGTTTTCGATTTAATAAATAACTCGACAACGATTTTAAAGCAACTCCTCCGAAACCTATTTTTTTTAAATATTATTAATAATTTGTTGTGGTTAACTGTAAAAAAATGCATTTGCTAAGTCAATAAAGATGCATAGGGATGGACAACTTTTATTTAAAGATTTATACAGAATTTTAGTTAACCTTGCTAATGCATGTTCAGTTAATAGACCCTCTCCAAAACCAAATTGCTGTTTTGAAAGTATTTTGTTTGAATCTAAAAAATGTATTATTCTCTTTTTTATTACTTTGGTCTATAATTTTGTACTTCATCTTTATTACCTTTTTTATATAATGGTTTTATTAAGGCATGCTTTAACTTATCTGGAAATATACCTGCTGTTAAGGACATATTTATAATATGTGTTAAGGGAGTACTTATATATTCAGAAATTAATTTAATGGTCTCTGATCTTATTTGATCAACTCCTGGTGATTTATGTGGTTTTAATTCGTATATTATTTGTTTAATTTCCATCATTTCTGTTGGTTGAAAAAATATAGAAAGATTTGATTTTTCGGGATATACAATTTGTAGAACTTGATCTATTTCTTTTGCCATTTTGCTGCCTATAGTACTATAATGATCCGCGAATATTTCAACAATTTGATTCTTATTTTTTACTAGTAACCCGTCAGGAGATTTTATTTCAGAAAATGTATCTTTAATTTGTTTTCCGCCACATATGTTATTCACTTTTTTCCATAATTTCGTAGTAATTTTGATATGCATTTATCTCAGTTCTATAATAATTTATTTAGTTTGTTTTACGATATTCTGTAATTTATTTTTGTATAATTTAAATTCCATCTCAGTATTGATATCATAAATGTTATAACTTTTAATAAACGTTTATTATTATTTTTTGCTTGTAGAAATCATACATCATCGCTATTGGAAAAATGTGTTGTAAATAATAAAACTTATTAAATTTAGATGGAAATTTTATTCGTAAAATTTATACCATATTTTACAGAAAGAAAATAATAGGTACACAGCATGTTCAGTCATTTCAACACTAACGTCTATTTGCCATGGGTATCAGGGATCCATTGACCTCCGAGAGCGCCTTCCAAAGCTCCCTTGGAAGCGACACCGAGACCGAGACCATGGGCTCCGAGTCCGAGACCGAGACCGTGAGCTCCTAGTCCGAGACCAAGAGGACCGGCGGCGAGGGCGGCAGCACCTGGGGCGATTACGGCGGGGGCGGCGACTGGTACGTCAGGGATCCATTGTCCTCCAAGAGCGCCTTCGATGGCTCCTTTGGTGCTTATTCCGGCGGCGATTCCGTGTCCGGCGACTGGGACGTCAGGGATCCACTGTCCTCCAAGAGCGCCTTCGATGGCTCCTTTGGCGCTGATGCCGACACCTGGGGCGAGGATACCAGCTGGACCAGCGAGAAGAGCTCCTGCGCCTAGGCCAATTCCACTGGCGCTGGTGTAGGCGACGGCTACGAGGAGGACAGCTACGGCCTGCAGGACATATCACAAACAGGTTTTAACTAATCTCTAATCTTAAGGGTATGATTGGATAATCAGCAAAAGGTACAACTACAACGATGTCAGTCCTATGTGGGAGGTTATCAAAAATGATAATGACGATGAAGAAAAGAAAGAATGCAAAGTAATAAAAAATTCTACCAGTTCCGTGAATGCTGATAATTAATGTATTAGTTGATAAACTTATAAAATCATTATTGCTGTGATGTCCATAAAAATTTTTTGTTTAAGTACAAACAAGAATAAATAAGCAGAAATACGAAGGATATGCGAATTTATGTTTTACACGATATAACTAAAGCACAAAGGGGTTAAGCATCATTTTTCATCAAATTGAATCTAAGCTAAATGTTACTGAGCATAACATGCAATGAGAACAAGTGTGAATACTCGCACATTCTAATTTTTCTATTAAAAGGAAGTGCTATAATGTGTAACTGCCACTGTTTAAGTGTCATATTACTAGATGGGATGATTTTGTCGGAAACGTATGTTGATAATTCAGGAATTTTATTTACAATAGATAGTTTTGGTTCCATGAAATAGAAATTTTGAGAAAAGAAGGAATTTACAATATCAGAGAGAAATCACAATTTTAACTTCGCCGAATGAAAACAAAATGAAAAGAACAAAAGCAAACATTTGGAAAGCGTTTCGCCACATCTAAAGATGAACATAAAATGTTTTACGTGAAATTAATAAATATTTCATAATGCCACATATGCAACACATAGCAATTTTTTATTTAACTGACCCTTACAACACTAAACATAATTAAATAATTTAGAGAGTTAAGTTTTCATTGTTTTCTTTCCCATCAATTATCTACAGGAGTATTTCATCTTGTTGGAAAAAAGATACTAAAAATATTAGTTATATTTAATGATAACAAAGATGGGCTCTATAAAGTTACGAAAAAACGGTAAATTGGTTTTAAAAAGACGATGTTATTATTAACATTAACATATTAAATTCATTCTGCACAATGCAAAGAAAAAAATGCTGAAATGCCAATGATGTATGTGATATGACTTCAAATAAAATTCACCACTTTCAAAAAGCAGCATAGAAATATTAAAAAAATATTTAAAAACTTAATTACGAAATCTGTACTGAAATATTATGCGATTAGAATGCAGTACTGTGTGTTTTTGAATTAATTTATGATCTGTATAAACAAGGCAGTTACCCAACCCACATTTTTTTTTTCAATAAACAAATCGAATCGAGAGCCCTACTTTATTAGAAACCACTTTTTTAGAGACCATAAGCGATTGTACAAAAAGTAATGTTGTTTGCAGAAGGACAAATTTTATTTTTGAGCGGATCATAAAAATGCAAGTTGTTATCTTGATTTCATGCAAGGTTAGTTCTTACTGTTATATTTATGTTAACAAGTAATACATATCCAGATAATTATACTAAAGAATGAGATAATTAGACCAATACTTTTTATTAACTTTTTGAAAAATGTTCGATGATTGTGGGATCAAAAAAAATTTTTTGATTAAAAAAAGTTAAAGAAATGGTGAATGCGCCGGTAAGATGAAGACAAAATTTTCAGAGAGGACCAAAATTAATTAAAGTTATTTAAATACTTAGCCCAAGAAAGGAGAGGTAGTTTTTAGAAATAATAGAAGCGTTAAATATTGTCAAGCAACTGATTTTTTCATAGGAATAATTGATAGAAAGAAATAATTGCAATAGGTAAAGGCAATACTTACCAAAGCGTTCATTTTGTTCGTTCTGTTGATTGTGAACAAGTGATACAATTAAACGGCATTACAGTTTATATTTATATACTGACCGATAACCTTGCCCACACCCAAATCGGACGCCGAGTTCTATGCGCCTTTTCCGCATTTGTGAACTAGATAGTAATTGCAGAAAAATGATGAAATTGGAAAAATCGAACGCGTGCATCTGGATGAAGCTGAGCGCTTCCGATGGCACCCCCGAAAGGAAATTCTGCTTACTCCCGCGGTTATTCCTCGAATCCGTATTGTGTGACTCGGTTAAAATTTAAAAACCGGTTCGATTCGTTTAATGATAATTTAATTGGTGTAGGTAATTGTTTATGTAACCACAGAAGCGACCTGTTATGCCTACAAAATATGTCTTATTTGAAGAAGAGTTCTGGTATATCTTCTATGCATATACGTGTGCAATAGTTCGAGATATTGCATTATCATTTTAAGTGATTGGTATAGCAGGGTCACATATTTTCACCTAGATATTTTTTGCGAATGCAGTGAGGTTTAAGTTTAGGTGTCCTTGTGCTAAAAAATGGTTAAAGATGAACTAAATCGCCTCAGTAACAACAACAGGGCAACAAATAAAAAATAGAGAAGAAGTATATTCTTTGAAAATTATTTATAAATGCAGTGTTCAAAATAAAAACATCACAAATTTTGTGTGAAAGAGAAAAATAATTATAGGCAAAATGTGGTACTATTTTTTTGTTGTATTTAATACTAAAAATTGTATATTAATTTTAAATGTTTTCTTTATGTTGAACGAAAAATATTTTTAAAGTCTAATTTGTAATTTTGTTATACAAAAATTTTTACAAAATTGACAGTAATAACTTTATCCACGAGAATTATAATCTTATAAGTGCTTTAAACACTTCGGCAAATCGGCCGACTTACCTTGTGCAAGACTTCTTAGTTTATTTCACAAACATCATTGTTGATTATTTTTAATGATTTTATTCATTTGGTTTTAAATTTTCGGTATTCTTTTCGAAAACAAATTCCAAGTGAATTAATCTGCTAAATATTATTTACAACTATTTCTCTATTTGCATTTATCCAGTAATTTTGTTATTAATTTTTATTGTGCACTAACACTAACTTCTACATTTATTACTACAATCTTCTGACCTCATTTTCTAAAGAAACATGCTTTCTCTATAAATCTCGACTAGTTCTGCTAACAACTAGAACTTCTTAAGTCCAAAAATCAGTCACAAGCCAAATCATCTGACTTACATGGGTGTGTATGGAGCGCTTTACTTACAGCTTTAGTTGCAACTGTTGAAATATAATTTTAATAAATATACTTGTCGTTTCAGAAAAATTTTTAATCTCTCTACAACTATAATTCTCAATTTTATGTGACTTAAATATAATTTTCTGTCTTATTAATTCTTTTGTTGGCTATTTAAATGATATCATGAGAAAGTTCAATTTAAGTAGAAATGAGCTAATCTTATTTGATAAATGAGAATCGCAGAAGGCATGCTGACTTTGCTTTCCACTTGTCTCATATAAAGTATTTAAATTAAATATGAAAATGAACTGGTATTNATTATTTCTCTATTTGCATTTATCCAGTAATTTTGTTATTAATTTTTATTGTGCACTAACACTAACTTCTACATTTATTACTACAATCTTCTGACCTCATTTTCTAAAGAAACATGCTTTCTCTATAAATCTCGACTAGTTCTGCTAACAACTAGAACTTCTTAAGTCCAAAAATCAGTCACAAGCCAAATCATCTGACTTACATGGGTGTGTATGGAGCGCTTTACTTACAGCTTTAGTTGCAACTGTTGAAATATAATTTTAATAAATATACTTGTCGTTTCAGAAAAATTTTTAATCTCTCTACAACTATAATTCTCAATTTTATGTGACTTAAATATAATTTTCTGTCTTATTAATTCTTTTGTTGGCTATTTAAATGATATCATGAGAAAGTTCAATTTAAGTAGAAATGAGCTAATCTTATTTGATAAATGAGAATCGCAGAAGGCATGCTGACTTTGCTTTCCACTTGTCTCATATAAAGTATTTAAATTAAATATGAAAATGAACTGGTATTCAGTAACAATAATATGCAACTTAGTTCTATAAATATTCATTTACATGAGTAACTACGTACAATATGTTTAAATAATTATTTATGGGTATAGAACTTTTTAAATTTCTGATACTATTAACGGTACTTTATTGCTTTTTTTTTCTGGGGCGAGAGATTGAAATATATCCATGGTTTGCTTGTAGCTCATAGAGAGCGCCACCTACGCTAGGTCGAATGCGTTGAAAACGACAGAACTTTTTTATCTTTCAAAAATCTAATTCTCAGGTAGCAAATTCTGATTTTACAACTTCTTTTACACAAAAAAGCTATACTTTTTGATAGTCGCTATCTTGCACCGTTCTCAAGATATTTAGCTTTGGTAATTCGAGTAATCAAAATAAGGTACGAATGTCAAAAAGAACAAGAGTTTATTTCAAATTATAAATTGTGATGAACAATTGAATATCGAATATTACAATAAATGTTCAACATGTCCGCCTCCAACTTCAATACATTTATTAACGCGTTTGTTCAAAGACTGCCGTATTTTAAAATAGAGATTCTTGTTACGAAATGATTCGGCGGCATTTACAATTTTCTGCCATAGCTCTTCGCGGGTGTTTATAGTTTCTCTATAGACAACTGATTTCATGTAGCCCCAGAAACAAAAATCCATAGGATTAAAGTCAGGACTACGAGGAGGCCATAATATTCGACTCCCACGACCGATCCAACGATCCGGAAAAATGTGGTCAAGATAGTTCCGTACTCTGACAGAATAATGAGGGGGAGCTCCATCTTGCATGAAAAATAGATTTTGCCGTGTATTCAGTGGTAAATCGTCGAGGTAGTCAACTAAATGGTGCTGCAGGAAATCTAAATACAAGTCACCATTTAGATTTGGAGGAAGCTCATGTGGACCCAAAAGGTGATTTCCTATGATTCCGCACCAAACATTTATCTTAAATTCATGTTGGAAGTGACGCTCACTGACTACGTGAGGATTTTCATTATCCCATATGTGCTTGTTTCTAAAATTGAAAATTCCTCGACGAGTAAAGGTCGCTTCATCAGTGAATAGTACATTATCCAAAAATTCCTGGTCAAGGTTTTGCTGATTGCGCATAAAATGAGCAAATTGTAATCTAGCTGGTAAGTCTGCTGCTAAAAGATTTTGCACGGGTGTAAAATGGTAGGGATATAAATTTTCCTTGTGAAAGATTTTGAGAACTGTTGTTTTACTAACACCGGTTTCTCTAGCTACCTGCCTGCTGCTAACTTCTGGATTTCCTGCCACTCTTACTAAAATTTCTTCTTCTTGGTGAACTGTAACAGTACGCCCTGCGTTGTCTCTTTTAGGACGAAAACTACCAGTTTCTCCAAGTCTATTAAAAAGTTCTTGAAATAGTTTCCGATTTGGTTGCCTTCTATTCGGATACAACTCTGAATACCGACGAAGCGCTCGACGTCCAACATAATCTGATTGCGCATAAACGCAAACCATATCGCGCATTTCTCCATTTGAAAATAAATTATGGCGTGGCATGTTATCTCGCACTACGATTTAGATCATAAAGTAAAGAATACTTTTAATAAGGCACGAATAATACTGTAATATTACTGACAGCACTAAGATAAGTGGAAAATGTCAAAATTGGATTTTAACATAAGCCTACTTGAAAATTTTTGCCGATTTGTAATTGAATGCAAATACATTGGAATTTTCAATGGCAAATTTTACGAGAACGGTGCAAGATAGCGACTATCAAAAAGTATAGCTTTTTTGTGTAAAAGAAGTTGTAAAATCAGAATTTGCTACCTGAGAATTAGATTTTTGAAAGATAAAAAAGTTCTGTCGTTTTCAACGCATTCGACCTAGCGCAGGTGGCGCTCTCTATGAGCTACAAGCAAACCATGGATATATTTCAATCTCTCGCCCCACAAAACCCCTAACACCAAAATTTCATCTCGATATGAGCATTTATTATGAAATAAATAAGAAAAAACTAAAATAATATTTTGCATTAAACACCCTGTATCTCTATAAGTATCAACTTTTGGACTAAGGTGAGTTTGTCTAAATCGCAATATTTTCACGTCAGGAATCTAGTCATGAATTTTGGCCCATTACATCGCGACCGCCCTGTATAATATTGTTTTCCTAATATAGTCTATGCAAATTCCCATTTAAATATTTTAGATTATTACAATTAGACATCGTGGGAAGCGTTTCAGCTGGAATTGGAAATAACTATATTCATTTTTTCTGAATAAAAACTACCTCAAAGTCAAACAATTTTAGTAAATTCTTTTGCAAAAACATTTCTTTTTCTCAAATTCTCAAATTTCTCTCAATTTCCTGTTTCTCAATTAATTTGATATTTTATACATTAAATTTCAGTTTTACATGTTGTAGACTATACTGAGCTATGTTAAAAATTATATTTCCGTACTTTTATTTCAAATACTCTATACTACTAACATTGAATTTTGTATGTAACAGTAACTTTGATACTCGGTTCGGGTCTTATACAGCAATAGGAAATTATATTATCTGATTGACTTTGATCAAATATTTCACCGAAGTAACTTAGCAAACTCTGTTAAAAACTATTTACCAATGCCCCAGTGAAGTATTCATTTGTGCTCCTATAATAGGATAGGCAGATAAAACCCAACACATTCTGCTATATTTGCTCCAGCTAGTGAAACTTTAGAATTCCGGAAATTTCTATGTAATCAACGTAGATTTCTGTTAACTATAACTAATTATTTTATTTGCAATTAAAGCCTATACTCATTTTCACTGTATGTATTGATAATTATAAAAAGCTTTTGAACACTAGACAGTTTGTTATTGATAATTAAATATATTTTGCTGCCTGTTTGTAAACAAGGATTCGGAACAGGATTTGCCATACGAATATTATTAAATGATCAAATGTATGCAAAAACCAGTTGGATCTATATTAAAATATGTGTACGTGAAGGTAAATATGAAAAAAATACGATATGAAAA